AAAGACGACTAAAAATTGTTAAAAGTCATGTATGTAATCAAAACTCTCTGAATAGATTATGCGTTTTTGCATCTCTACGCCTTGTCAGTTTGTGCCCTGTTGCGCCTTTCAGACTGTGACGTCACGTTCCTATAATAAGGCTTCGATTCACCTGCGTCGTCGTCCGTCTTGTCAGCTGCTTCCCACGCAGCGTTTCGGAGAAACTGAAGTTGCTAGAAAACGTTCTGCTCAATTTAATACGATGACAGTTGCGTATCAATCGTTTCACGTGATTGTGTATGACCTGCAGTTTACAATGGAATTTTTCGACGATACCATCTTTCAAGTTTTATAAAACCGATTAAATGTAAGTAGTTTCTTCTCCAAATGGCGGCCTATTTGTCAGAGGCTAAATTCCTACTGGGTTTAAGCTCAGATTCAAACCCTCAGCCTCCTACCACAACCACCACCGTGACTAGATTTCCTGCTACACATTCTGGAGGTCCCAGATTCGAGTTTTGATCCAGAGACCGCCTGTCCTGAATGAAGAATTTTTTCCACGAACTGTTGTATTAATACGCTATCCTGAAATACCTAACGACTGCTTCCAGCCAAATGTTCTCTTGTTCACCGTCCACAGTCTTTCTGTCATGCGGCGACAGCTGGTCTGTGTTTCCTGTGCTGTTGAAAAAGAGTCGATAAATAAGTCGAGTCCCCTGGGTGACCGATATAAGTGTCACGATATGACCTCGCGTAACCTGCCCTCGGAATTTCCCCAACTGACATACGAAATTAATTATGATAGCGTAGTTTTCCATATTTTTTCGCCCCCAGATCAATACTGTTCTGAAATCCGTGATTATTACCCGGACTGCAAAACGCCTTCGCGCTTACTGAAGACATTCCATGTATTGGCGAAAACTTTATGTTAGCCATATTAACTCGGTTAACACTTTTTAAAACGAAAATCAATTAATGTTACTTTCGCCGTCCAGTTGTGACACATAAGCTGGAACACCGCAGAATCGATCAGATAAAATGTTTCTTTAGAAGCCATAGGTAATTGGTCGCTGTTAGCCACGTAGTCCTGGGTTAACGTGGGCTTTCTGTGCACGCAGACGCATTTACAAGTGACACGACACAGTGGTGTAGAGTTACTGAATGAAGGGGCTGTGTGACCTTCCAATATAAGATGTTAGCCAGACCTCTACTGCTAACACGCTACTTGCTTGCGTGCTGGCTTTTGACGTAGTGTACCGCATCACATCTTTCGTGATTAATTTCATGACCTTCGTTGCACGCATGTGTCGTATTGTGACATGTGATTATGTATCATGGAAGATGAAGTTTATGACTGTGTTGTAGAAGACATTATCGTAAAAGAGTAATTTTCTTGTGGGAATTCTGCTTCTAAGAACAAAATAATTAAGTAAGTCTGATTTTGACCAAGATTCGTCAATTTATTTTAGTCACTAGTTGGAAATAAACGTGTACAGGTAGGACTCGGTTTACGCCAGTGTTAGGTTCCTGATATTTCCGGCGTAAACCGAATCCTACCTGTATTTGAAATCATCGTTAAACAAATCAAGCATTAAACAAACAAATGTTTTGTCATTATCTCCTCCAATTTACAAATAGCCTATTCGTCGAATTACTTCAGTTTGAAATCTGTTATTCGAATCAGATTTTGTGCTTCATTTGTCTACAGGTTTGCCAACTCAAGCATTATACCAATTCTTACATGTCAATTTGTAGTTTTCTGGATTGTGTAATCTGGTGGGATGTTATAAACGTTAGGAACTTCGAAACGTTGGCCAACTGTCTACAAGACAACACGGTGTTACAACTCGGAAGACCAAAATGGAATAGTCTTTTTAACCACCAAGAGGACACTCTCATTCTTGCAGTTTTTCATGCTCGTATTTTATGATGTGAAGTTTGCGAAAACTGTCATATCTTACTTCTTCTGGAGTATGACGTAATGGGAATTTCTTGTCTAAAATGTTAACAGTTTTGCTCCAGTATGAAGAGACTAGAACGTTTTCTATTAACTATGACGAGGAAGTCTTAAACAGCACTTAAACATATTTTTTTATTTATCTGACATATAAATTGAAATAATTAACTATTCATATTTTCTTCATTAAAGAGTTTGGTACGATTTAATGTAGTGTAAAGAGTGATTTCAAAAATGATGATAAACCAACATATTTTGTCATGTAGCCTATCGTTGGCCATACATTAGTAAAAAGTCAAGGTACTCTAAATTTATGCTGTTCTGTCAACAATCAGTTTCCGATAAACAGCTGAATCATTCCAGAAGACAAAATTTTTAAAAAGTATGTTCATATATTTCTGTGTAATTTGTTTTGTTAACACATAGACAAGTGTCAATGAATAAATCTTATGTTGAGATAAGCTTAAGTTCTTACAATAACTGCCTTCTGACATTGATTCTCAAAATGATAACTAACCAACGAACAACTCTGTATTATACGTTGCCCTGATGCTGGAGGCATCATGGACCTCTGAAACGTTGGTAAACGTTTACCAGACTACACGGCGCAACAACCCAGAAGACAGCCATCTATAGACTTGAAGTTGTTAAATACAGAGCAGAACTGATATTTCATCAAAACAAATTTGGTAGCAACTAATGCCAGGAATATTTCTTGTTGTATACGATTAATTCGCTTCCAGTGTTGATGTCAAGACCGTGCTCTTGAAGTTGACGAAGTTGGAGTTGACCGCTTCAGCATGGTCCCGCCGTACGATAGACTATCCCAGAGGCCCGATCTCGTCTTAGTTTGCATGGCGCATGCGCAACTCGTCTGTCGTACACACCAGCAGAACTACCTGGCCGCCTCTGGTCGTTCGTTACGCAAGGACTTCGAGCCTTCTAAACCTTCGAATGATTCAACTCACGCCGCTCGTTTCGTCTTTATTTTTCTTTACGCAGTTTCGTTTCAGCACGTTGTTAGTCCAACAAATCCATGTCCGAGTCTTCATACAGCGGAAAGGTAGGAGGATGGACCTACATGAACAAATTGGGCCGAGTGCGATTTGAAGCCGCGATCCCAGCGATTATAATCATCCTGATATTCGTCATTCGACGGAATAAAACTTTTTAATACGAGACAGCGTTTGGAAATGTGCCAAGTTGTGACGTGGGACAGTACGATACATATACACCTCTGCCGCGAGTACGCTAGGGTCAATGTACCCGGTGGGTGGCGTGCCTTGTGGTAGGTTATGGACTCGTTCCTCGATGTAGGTCGTAAGGCTGTAAGTACATCTGTCCTTTGTTTTGATCCAGGCCTAGGTCACGTCTGTTTGCGTTTTTTACGTTGTAATGTCGTTACCGATAACAGAAAAGAGTGCGTTGCTCTGGGGGCCCTTCTAGGTGGAGGTGTACAGGAGTAAGGACAGTTACTAATGTGTGTACTTTCGCAGTTCCTCTGTTGGAATACCAAAGAGTGGTCTTCACGTAAATTTATTCGATTTATTTCTTCTTCGATTCTCGTTTGCGGATCCCACTATTCTGAAAGGTTCCCTCTTTTGTCCTCCCAAGCGAATGCAAGATTAATAATTACAATCAGCCACGGCTCACTCCTAGATCTCGTTTATTGATGATCATAATTTTTCTGTATAGTATGTTTTGTTAATGTAGCGTCGTTAAATGTTGTACGATTCAGGTATTAAATCCATTTATATACTAACAGAAGCAACAAAGTAGTGAAATGGATTCTTGTTTTCTGAAAATTCTCGTTTCATATCTGAATAGTGGACTATTTTCTCAAAATCATTTGCAGTTTTCTGAATCCTTCCGAGTCAATGTGGACTGTATATTCCAATAGGCTACCATTATTGTCTAAACATCTCATTCGACAGAATATGACAGGCTGTGGATGGATGATAAATGGTCCACAAAACTTACTCCGGACTAAAGAAATTCTGATAATAAAACAACTTCTTTAAACGAAGTATTCAGTTAAAAGAAACGACTCGATAATTATTTAATCATGTACAGAGTTTCACTTGCTAGACATCTAGCGCAAAAATTGTATGATCTTCAGGTATTATATCCAGACGAGTGAGCACATTACAGGCAAATAGACATTTTTTAAATTGCTTTCAAAATTTTCACAACAAACATGAAACCATAACGCCTTTATGTTAACATTCTCAGTCTGTTTCTTCATTTACACATGAAGCTACAATTTAATCTTTTATCCTGCTTCGGAACACTTACATTTGTGTGTGTATTTTTCTTATTTTTATTTACGTTTGGAAATTGAAACCCTGTATTAATTGTAGTAATGAAATGTATGTCTAAATATGATGCAATATGAAAACTAAAAGAAAGACTTTCAGATTCATCAGATAACTTCATTTTCTTGAATACCCACAGCATGATAAACGTACAGCGGTGTTAATTGAGCTCTGTAAAGGGAATTACAGTTGTTACAACGCAGGTTTAGTCGACGGGGGGACCAGTCGCTCTATCCCTAAGGTTATATGAGGTTAAAAACCTCTTCATGTGGCCGTCATTGGCCGGTGAATTAAATACGTCATAGAATTTGGAAGCGTCAGGCGGGAGTTTGCAGGGAGTCATAGAAGAAATGTAATTTGCGTTCAGCATTGGTCAACGGCGAACACAAGATTACAGCTTTCTAGAAAGGCGACTTGGCAGATGACGTGTTTGCTTGTATCCTGGGAAATTCTGAATTCGGAAAAAATTTAATAAGTAGTGAAATTGCATTTGAGAAATGGCATTCACATTTAAATTATTCATACATCTACAACAAGTAAATCTAGTGGCATTGAAAGTTTTTGGGAAAATGATTTCGATTCGACACGACAAATAAAATGATGACAAGCAACTAATAGACAGAATAATTTATGAAAAGTTTGTTTAAAATTATGTTTACAAATGTGTTTTTACCAAAAAACAAAAACAAAGAAATTGGACTTGATATGAAACGGCACCATCAAATGACAAAAATGAAATGCGAAAGGGATTCAAATTTGACCCGGACTTTTATTTTTCCAGACGTCAGCGTTCACGCTTTTTACATTGCCTGTGCTTCACAATACAACTGGTCCACTTTCGGGTAACTTCCTGATTCCAGCAGCGAACAACTCTTTTGGTGACTGCGCAACCAAATCACGCCACTTTGTTGGTTTTGAACCATTATCCTCCCAGGTGCTCCAAAAGGGTCGAAACAAATGAAAGTCACATGGCGACAAGTCTGGTCTCTTTGGAGGAAGAGGCAGATCGTCCCAGACTAGTTCACGAAGAACATCGCTTGTCTTCCGTGAAGATGTCGAGGAAACTCGCCCATGCCTTTGGCTTCTGATGGCGGGCTTATGTTCTTTCAGTGGACCACAGTAGGAGACTGTATTCCTTGTTTTTCTCTGTAACAGAAACGAGGACTTGTTTTTCGTTATCCGACATACCAACACTTATTTCCCTAGAAGAGTGAAATTATAGGTCTTGTTTTGTCGTCAGGAAAAATAAACTTTCAGGTTAAATTTGATCTACCTCGCATATAAGATGTTAATATGGAAGGAACCGTTAACTCATTGCTCTTGGCATCTTATATTCTGGCTACTGGGCAAAACTGTAAAACATCTTGAGATTCTGAGTTTTCGCCGCGTGAGACAGTAATATTCAGGAAAACGTGAAGATGGCAGTCTCCTGGGTTGTAGCGCCGTGTAGTCAGGTGGATGTTTATCAACGTTCCAGAGGTCCTTGCTGCCTCCATCATCAGGACGATGATTGATGATGTAAGCAACAAGAACCTCTGAAACTTCGATAAACATCCACCTGACTACACGGCGCTACAACCCAGGAGACTAGTATTTACTGTCTTTCAGGAAAATTTGTTTTGTTATATTAAACTGTTTACACTAATGCATTTCTCATTAAAAATACATAACAATTTTAATTTAATGTATTGGCTTCTAAGGCGTAATTGAATAAAACGAAGAATATGTCCAAAATTAGGTCGTAACCACTTACCGTGGTGGGCATATAGCAGTTAAAAGAAAGGTTCTGTTTTCTTTTTGAACTAAAATTTAAAGAAAATTAAATTTTTTAACGATTACCACTAATTCCTACAGCTGTTTATCAGAAATAGCTTGGTTCAGTGTCTGTATTACTCTTCTCAGATCAGTAGCTGAAGGTTCTTCAAAATCAGAGTTCGCTTCATCTCAACAAATCAGATCAGTTGCTGGCGCTGGAACGTATATTCACACATGACCAAACTTCACAAGCAATTAACAAATGGAGAGTTCCACAATGTTCTGTACATCCGTCACTTTCCTTTTCTGTCGTCTGCGTCATTCTTGGGACGAAAACTGGTATCAAAACCACGAGGACGATGCTGTAACGGACAAGTGTCCCCCTCGCCGACCGCGAAATAGGTATTATTTTACCTTAAGCTCATCTTTCCTTTGAATTACTAACTCAGGAACAAAGCCACTTAGGTGAGGGGTAACCAGACACTTTAACACCTGTTGGCCCTTGACTTTGCTACCTGTTGGAGACGTCATATGACCAAATCCGTTTAGAGTTGTGTCCTTTTCCTGCTCACACCTTGAGAATTCGGCATTTTCTTTGGTGTGTGAGTGGACCAATGGCTTTTAAAGTCAACTTTGTTCACCTAGCACATGACTTCGTGGTCATTAAGAGCACAAGATTCACAGTTTACGTCATGCCTTGGCCTTACAGTACAAAATAATCTGTCGTTTCATATCAAATATTCAGCCTGGAGGAATGAAGTAAATTAGCCGTTCACCTATCCGATATTTGAACCCAGAACGTCTCGAATACTAAACAGAAGTGGAGACAAACTTACTTCGAAGTTTCATGCGCTTATGTTGCCAAAAATCATTGGATTAATAGATTAATTTATTGGCTAAAATATTATAGATAAAGATCCAGACGTTTTTGGTAAACATAGCCAGTCACAGAGAATCTGTAGGATCTGAGGTTTTCACGGCGGTGTGTCTGAAGATGGTTGTCTTCTGAGTTGTTGTGCCTTGTAGTCTGGTAGAAGTTTACACGGCTCAACAACCTACAAGACAGCCATCTTCAAAGATAAAACTGAATCATACAGAGAAATTTGGATAGGCTTCTTATTTCTTCCACAAGTTGTAACACGTGGAAAAATTACAGAAGAAAAATGTTACTGGGAAGATTTTTAATTATCGATTAAGAGGCAGGAGAAACACATTACATTACAAATATCTGCAGTGAATAAAGTCTGAATATGACCACAAGTTTTGGTTGAGGCTGTTTAAGAGATGAATTTCATGACCGTGCGTGTGCGTTTGTCAAGGCAACGGAATAATATTTTCCGGTTTCTTTCCAGGAACCTGCGTCCGCCCCGTAACGAGACCACAAGGTAAGACCTTTGAATTCAACATGACGTCTGTCGTTCTCCATGAACAGGATTAATTTTCCTGGAAGTTACATTTATTGTTGTGGTCCTATGAAGTCTTATAGGAGATGTCCTCTACTAAGAAATTTTCTTCCAAACTAAAACTTGATCCAGGTTTTCTGCCTACTGTATCTACTTTTCTAAAGTTACTTTCACAGTACAGCTTCGTGTGGGTTTGTAAACTTAGTAAAAAATATCTAGGTTTTATTACGCATTACGTTGAAGAACATTGTAATCAATAGCAAGTATAATATGAAAACTATTTTAGTTTGACGAGTGTTAATCGATAATTGCAGGCTGATTTATTAGATTAGGGTATATGGTAACAATAGGTTACAAATTTAATTATAGAATTTGTTGGAAAATGCTAGACAAATGAAAAATAGTGCGCACGGAAGATTTCTTCTTGACTACAGATTTGGTTGGATAAGCATTAATGAGGCTTGTGGTTACAATCTAGAAGCCTGACTTCGTGACTAGATAAAGAAAATAGGATTAGTGTTTATGTGTAGGTAAGCTGGCTTATACCAGTGGCTAATTCATCAGAGGTCTGTGTTGACTACCAGTTATCCATTGTTTGAAGTTTACATTAGGTATTTTTTCCTAAACACGTTATTTGTGAGTTGGTTTTGGTATTAGTTATTATACACCAGTTATAGAATTCTTGGCGTATTATATTTTAAATTCCAGTAGCAGCTGTAGTCACCTCAGACAGTGAATGGTTTTGAAGGTGCATGGGTATAAAGTAACTTGGTCTGACCCTAAATGATTCCAGCGGTGAATGACCTTCTGACCTTCTTCCTGTTCGTTTTAGTAAAGCGAACAGGAAGAAGGTCAGGCAACTGCTGGAGTACACCTCTCTGCCCTCGAGACTTCATTAGTTCCGTATGCAATGCAGATGCAGACATTAAAAATTATGGAAATTTTCGGCTCTGCAACGTTGAATCTCGGTCTGTAGAACGCCACCAAATGTACTGTGCCCGGTTGTGACTGATAACAACTTCAGCTGGCTTTCCAGCGACCTGTAGATTACAAAGTCACGAGACGGCTGAACTATTCGTAGAAGCGATTTTTAATAAGCGTAACCATGAACTGCGAAAGGGCAGGCATTTGAATTGCATGTTTATTTTACAAAGCTTAAACTGAAACGAATGGTTTAATCTTGTAAGCTTAAACTTGTCTACAAAAGCCACCGAGGAGATTACATGTAATGATGAGGTATGGAAGTCTGTGGTGTAATCTGATATGAAGCTTTTGCTGATAGTAATTCATTTTGTATGAAAAAGAGAAAAATGAGAAGAAGAACAAAGAAAAATATTTCTTCGTACCAACAAAATATTTATTTAAAAATTGTAAAAAAAATGAGAAACAGACATTGTATGAGCCAAATTTATGGAAATACGTAAAAGTGTAACAAATTAAATAAAACCAGGGGTGTTCAGCCGTACAGACCGGGTGTGAAGATGTCAGTATAACAAACCTATATACAAAATGACAGAATGTATATTAGCCCAATATCGAAAGAACGTTTTACGGAAAATGGGAAAGATGGTCCTCACCTAGGAAGTTTTTTGGCTGTAAACAGCAGATTTTAATTAATAAACCGAAGTCGTATTCATTGAATGTATTTGTACATTCTAGGCCTATAGATTCGTAATATTACATGAAAATATGAGTTAAATTTACATGTAAAAGAAAATAAACAAGGATATTAAAGTAGTGAAGTGAGTACACTCGTAGAAGCGAAAGTAGTCCTAAAAATACGCACTAGCAAATTTTATTTCTGTCTTGACTGAGATGAGCAGAATCAATATTTCCGGCTCCTTCCAAATTTTGATCTAACTCTTCATTTCAGCCTGTTACCTCGTATGAAGCCCTGCTCTGACGTCCAGCGGTTAGACAAATAACGTTCGCTTTGTCCCTCAGGAACTCGCATTCTTGCTTCTTCAAGCATATTCGTAAACACAAGATGTCTTTCCGAGGTTTGTGTATGTATTCCAATTATCCTGGGAGAGTAACGTCTTCATCAATGTCCGTTTCTGTCCTCTGCTGCATTCGGTTAAAAAATAAACATTAGAACACGGAACTGCTCAGGTAAGAAGCTGTACTCATGCACTCTACTTATCTACAAAACTAGGCCTCCTAGTTTAATATGATCGTTGTTAGGTCTATTGTTTTGGTCCACTTAGTAAGGCTTGTTAATAAAGTGTATAAAATTCTGTCTTAAAGAGATCCATGGAAGGTTCTTACATTCCACAGACAACCGATTTTCAATGGAGTAACAGCAAACAGCTTGTTAAAACCTCTTGATTTTCAACAGTGACAAAACACGACACTTCCGTTCTCAGGTCAACAAACTTCTGAAAACTAGAAGTTGCGTATTGTTGGCGGATGCATACTATTGCCGACTTTCCCATATATAAAGATTGTAAGCTGATAAAACATTAAAAATATCTTAAAGTCATGTAAGATTTGAGGTTTTCACAGCGGTGAGTATGAAGATTTATGTCTTCTGGGTTGTTGCGTTGTGTAGTCTGGTCGATATTAACCAACGTTTCAGAGGTCATACTGCCTCCATCATCAGGGCGATCGCCCAGACTACACAGCGCAACAACCCAGAAGACAATAATCTTCATCTTAAAGTCAGTTTAACTTAAAACAATCAGAATGGTAGACGACGGAAAACAACACATAATATCTGTGCTCCCTGAAGAGACCTACAAATGGTTATTAAATTTAAAAATATGCAAAAATTAAAATCACTCGAAAGAAGAAAATAAAATTGAACGTCGCAGCCGAGAGGTTGCTAAACCTGCTCCGTATTCGGGAGGTACTCGGTTCACATCTCGACCAGGAGACCAGTTATCGTAGCTATAAACAACGAATAAAACATGATTACGTCCAGAACGACGTTACAAAGACACCCGATGAGAATTTAGTATCCTGACCTGGCAGATGTGAAATTGGAAGTATTTTAAACAGTCAGAACAGACCATGTGAAAGTAAGAGACACTTGTGCATCAACGGGCGATGTATTCAGTATCTTGCCTATTTTTTAAAACGGTTTTGTTGAATCAGATGTGGATATCCACCAGTCAGATGGCAAAGACTCACATAAGATTATACTAACACACAGTGCTGTTAATGTCAAAGGAGGAAACACACCAATCAGAAGCAGAAGATTTCGCTAACGAGACATCGTGCGTAAAAGGTGTCTGTCTTCTGGGTTGTAATACACGTTTCCCAACGTTTCAGAGGTCCTTGCTGCTTACATCATCAGGGCGATGACTCATGGAGCAAGCAAGGGTATCTGAAACGTCGGGAAAACATCTGCCAGACTACACGGTGCTACAACACAGAAGACAGCAATCTTCAGACTCACCGTCGTGAAAACCTCAAATTCTAATTTGTGCGTGAAACTTATTTCGAAGACCAAGGCGTGGTATCTTAACATTAGAGCCAGAATGCTTGTCTCTCTGAATGATGAGAGAGTATAAACCTTCATTTTGTTCCCCTTTTGTTTAGTCAATTTGTCAGTCAGTAATTCGGCCAGTTAGCAAATCAGACACCGAATCATGTAGTTTGGTCTGTCGTTATTTCATGTAGGTACTGTGTCTCGTTGTACGGGGAATCGGCAATTATCTTTTCGTCTATAGCTACTTAAGACAACTCCTTATAAGTCTATAACTTATATTTCCGACATTTGTTTGGAAATCTTTTTATAAGTATTAGTTGCGCGAATGTGAGATTGTTTGTCGATACTGTGGTGCAAAAACAATATTTCATTTTGTATACAGAATACAGACATTAATAAGACTTTTGTCGTGTGATTAAATTCTTCAGAATGTTATTTCCATATATTAACATATTTCAATATCAATCATGGGCAGTAGATTAAGAATGAATATACGAGCAAGTCCACAGAGGAGTGTTTATTTTTCAAACTGATAGTCTGTCAGCTGTATTCTGCCCTTTAGGCCGAACATAAAATTTTACACCCATGCAGAATAACAGGCAAATGTATAATTTTAGTTTCATTGACATGCCATTTTATACGTGCCCATTCATCCGCTGCCGTTGCATTTGAAGTCCTATTTTAATTTTTTGTTACTAGATATGAAACACGAGGACACAAATACTGAACTCAACACGTAAGAGTGATGTGTCGACGTATAAATCTTCCATCTGTAAGATGCAATGCGGAATGGAAACAAAATCTTTTGGCAATTATGAATTTTTCTCGCTTTCTTTATGGTATTTTTGGTTCAGTTTACAAGTAGTATTTTATTGCCCCCGTTCACCTGGATTGCAAGTTGCAAGCAACCTTTTATCATCTGAGATCACTTTGAGGAGTCTGAATGCCTTGTCGGCTGTTTGGTTACAGTAGATGATTATCTTAACCGTCATCGAAAGCAGTGGATTCTATTTCAGCGTCATGTTGTGGCTCTATTAATTTCAACATTGACACTCTCTTTACACAACAATTTACAACAAATAATTTCTTCCTCAGGTGCATTATTTGTATTTTATGTAATTAATTCCGTATTGTGACATATTTCGAGCTTAATTTTCCCATTATCAGACATCATTACTTAATGACATCTATAAAATTAATTAAACCCGTAACCTTATATGTCATATTCTGATGATACGGATTTGCGGAGTTTAGCAAAACACAAAGAAACATATAATTTTACATAGAAATTCTGTCGATATTATTATGATATGATGTATCATGTTACAGGTAGTGAATTCTATCAATGTAATCAAGAGGATTTTAAGTAGTGATGTCTGATGATGGGACAATTTAGCTCGAAATATGTCATAAGAACTAATTAATGACACGAAATAAATAACGCAGCTAATGGAGAAGTTATTTATCATAAATTGTAGTGCGAAGAGTGAGAATCGATGCTATTATAATTCTTATTTTACGTAGAAATGATAATAATTTTCTACGGGGC